ACACACACACACACACACACACACACAATTTTGTTGGCAAGAGAAAGTAGTTCCAAGTCCATGACAATTATACCATATGCATGCCTTTTCCAAAAACAAAAAACAAACAATCAAAAAAAACTGTAAACTTAAAGCTAATTAGAAGCTCATTATAGAGTATGAGTAAACATGTTTCATATATGTGAAAAAGATTTCAGATACTATAAAATCTACAGTGCCTTTAAATTTTTTTTTTTTTTTTTTTTTTTGAGATGGAGTCTCTCTGTCACCCAGGCTAGAGTGCAGTGGCACGATCTCAGCTCACTGCAACCTCCACCTCCCGGGTTCAAGCGATTCTTCCACCTCAGCCTCCCAAGTAGCTGGGATTACAGGCGCACACCACCATGCCCGGCTAACTTTTGTATTTTGGTAGAGACAGGGTTTTACTATCTTGGCCAGTCTGGTCTTGAACTCGTGACCTCAGGTGATTTGCCCGCCTCGGCCTCCCAAAGTGCTGGAATTACAGGAGTGAGCCACCACAGGATCTCACTCTTCTGCCCAGGTTGGAGTGCAGATCATGGCACACTGAAACTTCAAACTCCTGGGCTCAAACGATACTCCTGCCTCAGCCTCCCAAGTAGCTAGGACTACAGGTGTGCATCACCACATCTGGTTAATTAAAAAAAATAAATGTGGCAATGAGATCTCACTATATTGCCCAGGCTGGTCTCAAATTCCTGGCCTCGAGCAATCCTCCTGCCTCAGCCTCCCAAAGCACCAGCATTACAGGCATTAACTACTACACCCGGACTTCTAAACACTCTTCATAAATATCATGGTCATGTTACCTGTGACATAGCCTATTGGATCATTAAGAGTTCTGGGCTACAGCATGGAGGTTGCACTTGGGTGAGATATTTTCTTGGTCCCCATATTATTTACTTTAAGTCCTAAATCAATTGGCTGGGTCTAATTTGCATGACTATGTAAAGTTTACAACCATTCATTTGATAAAACCAAAATCAAGTGTAATTGAGTTTGACTAAGTATTATGGTGCCTGATGTCCTAAAAATAATAAGCATAATGCCATTGAGAAATTTTAAAAAGTTTCCTGTTTATATGAATTTTCTCTTTTTGACAACTAACATCATGTTTAATAAATTACTGTACTTTGTGGTGTCCTTCATGTTAGGAAGAATTAATTTACCTTTACCACTTTTTTCCCACTGGCAAAATTAGACATAATTCAACTCCACTACCCATTTTGATATTATTCTGAAACATTATTACCCAGAAATGAGACTTGTGAGACTTTGACAGGATGTAGTGAATTTAAAAATTTACCTAAATAGGATAGTTTTGATAGGGTTATTAAATGACTCATAAGAAAAGCTAAACATAGAAAGAGTATATCAATTCCCGGGTTGACATTCAGTTTCTGTCTCTCCCCTCTTGGCTTTATCGTAATAAGAGATGGGGCAAAGCTTCCAGTAGCCCAAATCACTGTCACCAGCTTTACACGATGGCATTCAATGAAAATATTTGCACGACCTAATGCTGATTGCATTAATTAGACTCCCATGTTGCTTTGATTAAATCTCCTTATTGCATCGTATTCTCAATCAAAAATGTAAATGTGTACCTTTTCGATGTTCATTACTGCAAAAAAAGCTAAACATTTAAAGAGATTAAAATGGAAGCTATGGATATCCTTGTTTTCTCCTATATTGAACAGCTACTGAAAGTTTAATAAATGAGATGCTCAGGTACTTCCTGGTCACTTATTTAGTGACCTTTGTCATGCTTCTTATCAGAAAATTTGGAAACTGTTGCTCAAGGGTAACATACACAGCCTGTCTATTCTGCTGTATAATACGGATTGAATTGCATGGTTAGAAGACTGATGTATATTGTGCTTCTTTTGTTTTACTTCTTAGCTTTGATATAATGACAAACTTCATTTGCTTTAAAAATATATTTTGTTTTATTCAATTTTGGCTTTGGTGAAAAACTACAGAAAATATTTTTTGGAACTCTATCATGCTTGTCAAAGAAGAAATCCTCAGGCCACCTAGCGTAGGGAATGGCAAATTTTTTCTGTAAAAGGCCAGACAGTATACTTAAGACTTTAAGAGCCAGATAGTCTCTTGTCACAACTATGTGATTCTGCCCTTTTGGCATGAAAGCAGCCATAAACAATAGTAAGCAAATAGTTGTGGTGGTGCACCAATAAAGCTTTACTTACAAAAACAGGCCAAGGCCCAAGTTAGCAAATAGGTGTGGTTGTGTACCAATAAAGCTTTATTTACAAAAACAGGCTGAAGCCAAATTTGGGCCACAGGCCATAGGTTGCCAGCCCCAGATTTAGGGCATCAGTATTTAAGTGGATGCATAATAAGAATGTGAGAATTGCTCCAACAAGAAAGGGCCTTATCTTCCAAGATAATTGAGGCCCTGCCTGGGACTCCACCCGGTAAACCAGTCTTAATTAGCTCAGGCTGTGATAACAAAGTATAGATTGGTTGGCTTATAAACAACAGAAATTTATTTCTAACAGTTCTGGAGGCTGGAAGTGTGAGATCAGGGTACTAGCATGGTCAGGTTCTGATGAGAACTCTATTTGGGTTACAGACTGCTGAATTCCTCTGGTATTCTCGCATGGTAGAAAGAAAATTATCTGGAGTCCCTTATATAAGGGCAGTAATCCATTTCATACTGCTCTACCCTCACAACCTCATCACCACCCGAAGGCCCCGCTTCTACCCTCTAATACGATCACATTGGAGGTTAGAATTTCAACGTATGAATTTTGAGAGGATACAAACATTCAGTCCATTGCACACCCAAAGTGTCATCACAGCCCAAGTTTTCTTTACCATACCCCTACGATTTCACCATCCATAAATTTACTGATAGTTTCACAAAATTTGACTCAGAAAAATTGGTCAAAAAAATTAAACAGAAACAGATTCTTCCCTGAACTGTCTTTAGTTGTAGTCAGAATCCTTAGCTTTATGCACAGTGATGAGGTCATTGAGGACATTGATTGGTGCTATTTTCTGGGGTAATAGTTTTGATTTCTCTACATTTTCTAGAATAAACTATGTCCAAGAATGCCTCAGAATTTTGAGTTTCTAAATCTGTTGACTTTCCTCTCTTCCCTTACACTTCACTCTCACCCCACTATCCAAAGAGCATTATTAAAAGTTTTAGTTTGGGGTATTTGTTTCCAAATAAAAGGCAATGATTATGTATTTAAAGAACTCAACATGGCTTTCTTTGTTGCCATCCAATCTGCCCTTCCTATGGTTAATGAAGTCCCACTAATTTATTGTAGGTATTGCCTGCCCACAAAGTATAGGCCTGCTTACAGACCTAATACCAATGATCACTCTGATATGTTAGTGTCAGAGATATGTACTCACAGGACAACACATTTGTGTTACTCTAAGGAATATTTTTATGTATCATTATTTTTATGGATATATTATTCAAAAATGCATTTTTGTTCATTAAGAGATACAAAAATCTGTCAGTGGTCATTGCTAGTTGCCCTAGCATTAAGAGTATTCAGTGGAACAAATTTTGTGTGTCCCAAAGACTTAGATGACTAAGAAGGAGAAAATGATAAGATAGGTTATATTCTGTTTTTGAAATGCGAGTTTACCATTTTCTTTTATTTTTCTCTTTTCTTTAGTTTCTGATGGCAAGTGAATTTACAGGATGGGGAGTATATTTGCAACCCCTGTTTCCTTATATAAAGGCAGAGTTTGAGAATTTTAGTAATGTCAGTAAGGGTCAAGGGTGCTTTCATACTACCGTCTGTATATAGCTTTCCCCCAAGTTTGGGCCATCAGAAAATAGAGAAAAGATGCTCTCTTCCCAGCTTCCAAATGACTGCCTGGAAGGATGTAGGTAGATAGTGTGTGATTTGGACATATGGATGCTGGAACACTATCCATGACACAGCAGTAGATCCTACTCTGCTCCTCATTTAACAGATAGGACGGTGAACTGAAAGTGTACAAAATGTGTCTGCTCAGAGAACATCTCCAGAATATAATTCTAGGTCCCTCAAATCCTTCCCCAAAACAAACATTTCACATGCTTTGCTGGTTTCTTCTGCAGAATGAAGAGTTGTTTTATCTCCAATCTGAAATCAAACTCCTGAAGAACTCAGATTAAGGAGATAGACAGCCCCTTATTAGAATGCATGTCGTGCTATAACTTCTGAAATAAGACTATGAGTCCCCTTTCATTCTATAGCTGCATAAACAAGTTATAAGAAGATGCTAACTTATCAGGGATAGCAGGTTGCTACATTTCTTATTTCTGACTTCTTAAGGAAGAATCAAGAATCTATTACAAGTCTGACTTTTTTTTTTTTTTTTTGAAATGGAGTCTCCCTCTGTTGCCCAGGCTGGAGTGCAGTGGTGCAATCTCCGCTCACTGCAACCTGCGCCTCCCGGATTCAAGCGATTCTCCCACTTCAGCCTCCCGAGTAGCTGGGTCCACAGGCATGCACCACCACACTTGGCTAATTTTTGTATTTTTAGTGGAGACGGTGTTTCACCATGTTGGCCAGTCTGGTCTCGAACTCCTGACCTCAGGTGATGCACCCACTTCAGCCTCCCAAAGTGCTGGGATTACAGGCGTCAGCCACAGCACCTGGCTCAGGTCTGACATTTTTTTAAACAAATATATAAGGTGACCTTGGTCTCTAAATTAGCAGTGCAATGGTAAAGCTTCAATTTATCATAAAGTAACTGCCCCCTATAACTTCAAACTCAAGGTTAACTTCTCATATTAAAGCTCACACAGACTTGAGATTAGGCCTACTTTGGGCACTCTTCCCAAGAGCTGCTGCCTCCAAAATGCTCTATGAACTTGATCATCAGAATGAATGTATTTGGAAAAAAAGTCATGGGAATTTGTATAGTTTAGTAAATAGGTAAAAAACCAAAAACTGTATTGAAGCTTTTTTCCATACACCCTGATCTTTACAACTTAATTATTTTTTTCCCTTTTGATCCTGGGGGAATTCGCCCAAACTTGCCATCCTGAAATTGTCTCCAGAGTAGAGTGACTCCCAGTGGAGTGACCAACTATCCCAATTTGCCCACACTGAGGAAGTTCCCTGGGTGTGAGAGTTTTGGGGCCAAAATTGGGAAGTTCTCAGGCAAACCAGGACAAGTTAGTCACCATTAGAGTAATGTAAACAATGACCAAAAATCCAGGTGCCAAATATGTAGAGATGGAGCAAGTAAGGGTAAAAAATGTAAAGAAAGAGAGTAAGAATGAATTAGTATATATCACACTTGTGGTCACAAGTAGCAATAGTGGATAACTACTAGCTCTGAAACCACAGACTGGCTTGGTTAGGGAATACTGTTGAAGCCTCAATCGGAGTCCAGATTATCAAGTGACGTAGTACTTTCAATGAACCTAAGGTCTTTGAGTAGAAGTCCCCAGGAGAGCAGTCACTGCCCCCAAGCTATTCATTAGCACAGAAGAAAATTCCCAGACCAAATGGGAATGCCAGGGGTTTACCTAAGGCTCCCACAGTGTTCCGATTGAGAACATGAAACATCTCTGTTTGGATGAAGCATCAAGTTGGCTAGTGTAGATACAACACATTCAGAGAAAATGATAAAATAAGAATTTCAAAAGTAAGTAGCTGCAAGGAAAATATTTTGTCAACATGAAAGATCTTAATGTTTATGTTGATAAATTTTAAAAATATTGCTCCATCATGTCATAGTTTTATAAGATTTTCACTACTCAAATTACACAGTGGGTTTCCTTCTGCCCACAGCATCTGAGCAGAAAGGGACCAGAGATCATGTGATTTCTGATTTGGAAAATAAATCCGTTTTATTTGACAATCTGCCATCACAGACTGATTTCTGTGTTCATTGTTTACCTTTTTCTGTAGCAAAATCAGCTTGAGTTAGTATTATCTCATCCCAAAATGAATAATTCAAACACTAAAAAATTCAACCAAGTCAACCTGTTTTATTGGTGTTCTGGTTTGGTTGAATCTTCCTTTTTCTTTCTACCTTCTGTCCCCTCTCCTAATGGAACTAAATGGTTTATTTTGACCAAGGTATACACAGTTTGGTTTACTTGGACACCAAAGCTGTATCAAATTAGGGAGAAGAGTGAGAGGGAAATGCAAATAGAACTCTTATGCCAGGGTAATCAGTAACACTTGTCCATGGCATTTCTGTAGGACTACCGAGTGAATATCTTTCTGAGACAACAGTGGAATGATTCACGGCTGGCGTACAGTGAGTACCCAGATGACTCCCTGGACTTGGACCCATCTATGCTAGACTCCATTTGGAAACCAGATTTGTTCTTTGCTAATGAGAAGGGTGCCAACTTCCATGATGTCACCACTGACAACAAATTGCTACGGATTTCGAAAAATGGCAAAGTGCTCTACAGTATCAGGTAAGCCTCCACTGGCTGCACATGTTCGCATCTCCATTTCTCTGCTAACATAGAGCTGCCTGATTCTGCAGGGTAGGATGTATATGAATATTTGACTTTTGTGGTTTCTTGTTTATCATTTGAATTTTAAAGTTGGTGGAGAGTATCAGAAGTCCCCTTGGTCTCATAAATGTGATTCTCCATAACAAAAATGTATTTGGTAGGATGGTACATGGTTAACGGTATTGTGTAATCACCTGCACAAATGTGTTCCTGATTGCTTCAATAAAGGAAGTACAGGCTATTCATTTCAATTGCCATTAAGCATAATATACGAAATCTCATTTCAATAATTCTGTCATTCTGTAACATTCAAACACACACACACGCGCGCGTGCACACACACACACAAATTCAATAGCTCAGCATAGTCATTAACAACATACTTTTAGCTGGATAAGTGGAAACCTGGTTCCAATGTCAGCTTTGCTTCTAAGTAAACATGTGACCTTGATCTCTTAACTTTTCTTGGACTTGGGCCTGGGACAGACAATTCCTGAGATCCATTTTTGCTGTTATATTCAAATATCTTCTCCAGAAGTGTTATCACTCTAGGCTCAAAATAATCTCCCCCTTTTCTGAACTCCAATAGCAGTTTCTCTGTAAGGCTCTTATTTTTTCCTGCCTTATATTTTGGTTACTTCTGTTCATGAGTATAGCATAAAAACATGGATTTCTGGAATTAGATCTAGAATCAAACCCAAGTTTTGCCACTTACTAAGTTATGTAACCTATAACCCTCAGTTACCTTAATTTTAAAATGGGAAACTCCATGTTTATCTCTGAATATTCTTGTGTGAATGAGTAATGTAGTGGTCAGCAAATATTTTCTGTAAAGGGCCAGATATTATCTTAAATGCTGCAGACCACATTGCCTCTGTTGCAACTACTCAACTCTATCATTATAGCTCAAAAGCAACCATAGGTAATATGCAAACAATTGGACATGGCTTTGTCTCAATAAAATTTTATTTACAAAAATAGGTGGTGGACTGGATTTGGCCCTTTGGCTGTAGTTTGCCAACCCTAGATATGAAGTATATTAATAATACTTGCCACAGTACCTGACACAGAGTAAATGTTTGATAAAATAATGGCTATCTGTATTTTGAAATCAGTTCTTTTTTTTAATGCTCAACATCTCTAATCATTAAAGAAATGCAAATGAAAACCACAATGAGATACCATATCACACCAGTCAGAATGGCTATTATTAAAAAGTCAAAAAATAATAGATGCTGGTGAGGTCACAGAGAAAAGGGAACACTTATACACTGCTAGAGGGAATGTAAATTAGTTTAGCCATTGCGGGAAGCAGTTTGGCAATTTCTCAAACAACTCAAAGCAGAATTACCATTCGAACCAGCAATCCCATTATTGGATATATACCCAAAGGAATATAAATCATTCTACCATAAAGACACATGCACGTGTATGTATGCTCATTGCAGCACTATTCACAATAGCAAAGACACAGAATCAACCTAAATGTCCATCAGTGGTAGACTAGATAAAGAAAATGTGGCGGCTGGGTGCCGTGGGTCATACCTGTAATCCCAGCACTTTGGAAGGCCGAAGTGGGCAGATTACGAGGTCAGGAGTTCAAGACCAGCCTGGCCAATATGGTGAAACCCCATCTCTACTAAAAAGTATAAAAAATTAGCCGGGCATGGTGGTACGTGCCTGTAGTCCCAACTACTCAGGAGAATTGCTTGAACCCAGGAGGCGGAGATTGCAGTGAGCCGAGATAGTGCCACTCCACTCCAGCCTGGGTGGCAGAGTGAGACTGTCTCAAAAAACAAAAACAAAAAACTGGCACTGTACACCATGGAATACTACACAGACATTAAAAAGAATGAGATCATGTCCTTTGCAGCAACATGGTTGGAACTGGAGGGCATTATCCTGAGTGAACTAACACAGGAACAGAAAAATATTGTTCAGTGAATAGTACAGAATAGTACAGTACTGTTCAATTGAACATGCAGTACAAATGCTGCATGTTGTCACTTACAAGTGGGAGCTAAGCATTGAATATATATGGACACAAAGAAGGGAACAACAGACACTGGGGCCTACTTGAGGGTGGAGGGAAAGAGGAGGACGAGAATCAAAAAACTGCCTTACAGGGTACTATGCTTATTGCCTGGGTGGGGAAATAATCTGTACGCCAAACCCCCATGACATGCAATGTACCTGTACAAGAAACCTGCACATGTACCCCTGAACCTAAAATCAATGTTTAGAAACATTAATGTTCTTTTTCAGTAGTAAGCTCTTAGCTCTTTCAATTCAAGATATTTGGTTTTTGTCTTTTTTGTAACATCTACCAAAGGTCTAGGACAATGTACTGTATATGAGAGATAGTACATTGAATAAACTATTGGCATTTAAAGGTCCTTAATAGAATGCCCCCCTTCTCTATATAATTTTATTACCAAAAAAGTGGACAGCTAGTCTCCTTGCAAATAATTTTTCCAAGTTTGCAGACTCACCATCATCACAACCTCATTTGACAACTCTATATATGATTTGGTTCTGTACTGTAAATTCCATTCTTATACCTAATAATTTCACACCCTGCTGATGGCTGAGAGCCCCAATGTCTTGTGGAACAAAAGAAGCTGCTCATTTGTAAAAAGTGGCAAAGTCACTGCTTGCACAGAAAACCAGGAAACTTCCCCCAATGACCATTTCATTTTTAAGGAAACACAAAACATTCTCCATGGTGATGTGTTTGGTTGGTGTAAAATGCAGTACTGAGCACAACATAAGTCGATCGGACCTGATAAAATGGGACATATGTAGAGTGTGGCGCTAGGAAGGAGAGTTATAAAAAGCAGCGCAGAGCATCAGCTGCCCCAGCTAATCCCCTGGGCGTTGGGTGGCATTTGCTCTAATGAATACCAGGCATCACATACTGCTGAAATAAAATCAGGTTGTTGTTGCTGTTGTTGCTTTCTTGCTGTTTTATGGAGGTCTTTACATTCTAGAATCATCAAGAATATAATGCTCCCAAGCCTAGACCCAGAGGCAATTCTTCTATCTCTGGTTCCCAAGCATAGCACATAACAGGCCCTGAAATGCCCTAACAATTGTTTTGGATTAGGTGGGGTTTGTCCTGTGGCAGGCTGTTTTATACTTTTCTTTCATTGTGAGTGTTCTCTGAAATCAAAATAAAAAACCTTGGTAAAGGAGAATTGGGGATATCATTTTAAGAAAATACAAGCTGTTGGGAGATTTGAGCTGTAAGAATCTAATTTTTTGCTTCGAAGGGCTTTTGATGAACCAGATACTGTGCTAGGTCTAGAACTCCAGAACTAAGTAAGATGTGGTCCTTCCCCTGCAATGACTTCAGTCTAACAAGGCAGGGGGAAACATGATAAATTAAGTAATAGGAATAAATAGGAAACAAGAAAAACAAAAGTGGCTCTAATTTTGCAAATGAATTATGTGACCAAAATATTGCCAGAATTTGGGAGTTGGCATCCACACTCCTGTTCGTCACTGGGCTCAATTTAACTAGAGGTCAAGGAGTAACTAGTGCTAATATATGTCCAGCTGCAGGTTTGACTCAAGTTTAAGGCCAAGGCAGGTACAGTTGTGTCCATGTCTTTTTTTTTTTTTTTTTTTTTGTTGTTGTTGTTGTTGTTGAGACAGAGTCTCGCTCTGTCGCCCGGGCTGGAGTGCAGTGGCTGGATCTCAGCTCACTGCAAGCTCCGCCTCCCGGGTTTATGCCATTCTCCTGCCTCAGCCTCCCAAGTAGGTCCATGTCTTAAAGGTGCTGAAAAGTTCCTACTGAAGTTCCATTAGGAAGTAAGTCCCCTGCATACTCAGGTTTACGACACAAATACTCCCAGGTGAGGAAATCCACTGGCTTAAATCCACACTAAACTCTAAAAAGCTGATATAAAATTTGTTTCTGAGGATGAACATATTGGATTCCTAAGAGTATAAATGGGATAGAATGAAGAAAGTTTGAGAATGATCAAAGGAATGTGTCAGAAGTAAAAAAAAAAAAAAAAAAAAAAAAAAAAAAAAAAACCCTAAAACTGTCTCCACATACACAGTAAATACTTAAGCAATTATTTAATTATGTAAGCATGTGGTCCACATTTTAAAAAGTAATGTTCTGTCTTGATACTCTGTATTTGCATTTTCCTAAAACTTAAAGCAAATACCAATTGCATTTAATCTGGGGAAAATTCCATGTTTTTCTTAGCTTTGTAGGTGTAGGGGTAGAATTAACTCTCTATGGACACCAAAGTTCAAGGCTTTGATGGTCAAACAAAACAAATAGAGAACTATACAGTTCATTGATTTCATAACAAGCAAGATCACATTTCCTAATACTTCATATATCTGTATTCCAAAAGGTAGGGGTCTAAAAAAAAGAGAGATGGCAGTAGACTAGAGCTCCCTAAGTATCCTCCTTATGAACACTTAGGGTACTTGACTAAAATTCAAACAAATCTTTTAAATAGGAAGGAAAGGCCTTAGCTCAGTGTTAATAAACCTTTTATCCAGTGTAGTAGGGCACAGTCTTTGTTGATGAAAAAGTACCAAATCCATTTCTCTCCATTTTTCTTCTTTAGTATTCATTCTCTAATGTTTTATCTTACTCTCTGTTTTTTTCCTAAGTTTTTTGTTGGCCCGCCCCATTAATTATTGATCACCTCTGACAAAAGTATACATTTTGATTTGTAAACCCTCTTCAGAGAAAGTCAGTAATCCAGAGACCATGCTGGGCCTAAAGATCAAGTACTGAGTAAGATGTGATCCTTCATCTGGGATGGGGAAAGAGAGTCAAATTCTAAATTCAGAGAGAGTCAAATTCTAAATTCACATTACTTACAATGAATCCATACTTGAATCCATACTGAAATAGTGAGGTGAATTTTGAAGGTTGTACATATTATTGTTTAAACAATATTTGTTGAATTTAATATAATGAGTTGGAA